TAGAATACAGTGTTATGTGGATATGTGAATGAATTCTAAACCAAAACCAGTTATTTATTGTCCTGTAAATTAATTCCTATATTTAAAGAAAGACAAATGTGAATGCAATGTTACTTATAAGCCTCTACACTAACATGGTGGGTATTACCACTGTGTGGCTGTAAGTGCAGCCACCACAAAGTGGCAGGTGGGTTCTTTTACACTTTAAGAAAAGCCAACTGAGTCTAAAAACAGAGTAAATGTCATTTTTAGCATCTGCATGGATGTTAAAATTACCTACTTATTTTATCTGAGCTGAGCACTAAGTCAGATTTTTTTTTAAAAAAGTCTGAGAAATCCTTTGCTTTTTTTTCTGTTGATGAGTGGGCCACTTGCACAAACTCCCAGCATAATCTCCACACTCTCCGACTCCTTAGCGTGGTGGAGGTCCACACCATGTGGATAGCTTCATGGTATTTTCCAATAAGTGCATCTCTGCTTCAGCAGGTGACATCCCCCTGTAAGTTTCTTCTCTTGCTCTTTGGTCTGGTTGTGTGTTCCTCTGAGTCATAGTCTCCAAGTTCAGACTGGGCTGTATACGAGCCCAGGACCGTGTGGGTGGCAAAGGAGCAGGGCAGGCAATCTGAAACTACATCCTCTCTCAGCTGCAAGTACAGGAAGTACCTTGTGATGTCCTAAGTCAGTTGTGAGGGGTCTGGTGGGTAAACACATTGAAAGCAAGGTTCCAGGGTCCAGTCCTGATCTGCTTCTTCAGCTCCTTGGAACACCCTGTTATCATACACCCAAGGCCAAGCAGCCTGTCCTTTGTGAAACTGTGTTGTGTAAGCATGTAGCAATTTACCTTCAACACTCAACTCTTTCTATGCCTCTTAGTTAACCCTTCACAGGGTGGGGTTAGTGCTTGTATCCTTTTAAAGAGGCGTGTATCAACTCAAATATGAGCACACGTTGCAATTAATGTTAAAAAGAAACTATGAAAAAAGTATACTTCTAACAAAAGACAAAACAAATGATTAAGCTTCTTTACTGAGTCAGGAGGGTTTTGTGTCCTTCTGAAGTCACTGCTCCATGATATAATAGTAGGTGTTTATTTAGGGACTGCTTTAGGACAGCTTTGTTATTTCTTTTTCTTTAGGGGCAGCTGTGTCTCAGGTGGGAGAGCAGATCATCTACCAATCAGAGG